GAAAGATCACACATTCTGATTTAACGGAGCTTTATGAATAATGGCCTCATTGTATTAAATATGTTTGGTCCGAAGAAACCGCTGGGTGACATTTAAGGCTCTCTCATCAAAGCGCCCCTCCCCCATCTGTGTCCCCTTTCTCTCTGTCAAGGAGCCTGGGCTTAACCAGCCTCAGAACACATCATTCATCATTAGATGCCCCCCAGCCTTTGCCCTTGCAGTTCCCAACATGGAGAATGCTCTCTCTCCCCTTCCCTGTCTGCTAACACCGCACGGGGCCGTCAGGCTCCTGCTCCGATTCTGCCCTTGACCCAGGAGGCTTAGTGGCTCTGTCCACTGACAGCCCTTCTCCTGCCATCCCCAGTTTTCCCATGTCTGTTTTCCCAGCACGATGCGAACCAGGGCCCTACATTTGGCAATTTCTCTCCCATCCCAGCCTAGACACACGCCATGTTCAGTTCCGTTTTGAAATGAGCAAATGAAGGGCTCTAGCCAGGAGTCACCTGGTCTTTCTGGCCAGGTAAGTGTCTTGCACGGTTCCACGTGGGGTGGATATTGACGAGACGGTTGTGCAGAGCCTCACTCAGCATGCTGGTGGCAGTTACCCTGGCGTGGGCCCAGCAGCAGGTGGGAGGTACTCCAGGAGGCCAGCTCCTTCACAGGGAGCAAACTGTGTCAAAACGTGTTCACAAAGAAGGTGTTACAGTGCTTCTTAGTGTCAAGCACTGCAATTATCTCTTGAGTCACAGAGTCGCTGGTAGCAATTTCCTCAGCCAAGATTCATTGTTGCTGACAAAACAAGGAGGATTCCATCCCATTAAACATTCATGAAGCCTGATCAGTCTGTGCTCTTTTGTGAATAGAACTGGGTTTTAAATGACGCAGGGAGTGCTGTGAAGTCCTTCCCAACTGGGGGCCCAGGAGTGGGGGTGGCGGGCCTCGGTTGGGGGTGCCCGTGGTGAGGACAGTGTGGGGGCTTTGTTTCCCATATGCTCACCCATATAACTACCCTGCTCAAATTACCCCAGTTCTGAACTTACCCATATTCTGCCCACTTCTAGCTGTATGACTGCAGACAAGTTCCTTAACCTTTCTGTGCCTCAGTTTCTTCATTTGTAAAATGAGGATAAGGATAGTAGCTGCCTCATAGGGTTAAAAGAATGTGGATAAAAGGAATTAATTTAGGCAAAGAGCTTATACTGGTACTGTCAGTTCTGCTCTAACATGGCACGTGTGCTCCTAAACATCGCCACACTCATACACAAAAATAAGGGAAAATAGCACTGGATTGCAGCACTCAAAAACTTCATGAGGGACGCATTAAAAAAAGATGGGAACCTAGTAAAAACAATAGAACTGTTGAGTGGTTAAGAAATGCGTCAGTACTACATTAAAAACGGCACTGACTTGAGGAAGGGCCTGAAGCTTGCTCCTGAAGTGGGCGTGGGAGGGGTGTGGCTTGTGAATTGTGAAAGGGTGGAAGGAAGGTAACCCGATAGAAATCAGACAGAAAGCTGTGTATTCATTTGCTAAGGCTGCTGGAACAAGTACCATACTGCCTCCTTCTCTGCAGGGGATACGTTCCAAGAGCCCCCAGGGATGCCTGAAACTGCAGATAGTGCAGAACCCTATATATACTATGCTTTTTCCTGTATACGTATGTATGATAAAGTTTAATTTATAAATTAGGCACAGTGAGAGATTAACAGCAATGACTAATGAAATCAAACAATGATAACAAGACACTGTACTAGAAGTCAGGTGAATGTGCTCACCCTCTCTCTCAGAACATCTTCTTGTACCATACTCACCTATTTACAGACCCCGGATGACTGCTAGCAACTAAAATCATAGAAATAGAAACTGCAGGTGGGAGGAACTACCGTACCCCAGTTTGGGTGGCTTAAACAACAGAAATGTATTTTCCCATAGCGCTGGAGGCTGGAAGTCCAAAATCAAGGTGACAGCAGGAGGCTTCCTCTGGAGTGCTCTCCTTGGCTTGCAGATGGC